GGAAATGGTATTATGCAGAATAATGCCGAAAAGGCAAACGTTCAATAAACATTTCTATTCTGTATACGGGGGGCTGGGGGGGAACAGAGGATATAAAGTTGGGTATTGTTAAATCAGCGGGTCTAGATCACTTGCATCCAAGAGTTTTAAAGCAGCTGACTGAGGACCTTGGAAGTCTTGGAACATTGGGGAAATTCCAGAAGAAAGTTACTTTGTGCCAATATTTAAAAAGGGTAACAGGCTAGTTATATGCCTGTCAGTCTGACATCGGTCCCGGGTAAGGTAGTGGAGGAGCTGACATGGGACTTGATTAATAAAGAATTAAAAGAAGATAATGCAATTAATGCAACTCAACATAGGATCTATTTTCCATTAACCTATCAAACTAACTTGAGATCTTTGATGAGATACCAAGTTTCATTAATGAAAGTAATAGAGTTGATGTAATATACTTAGAATTCTTCAGAATATTTGATTTGATACCGCACAAAATCTTGATTAAAAAAATTAGAACAATATAAAATCACCACGGCGCACATTAAATGGATTAAAAATTGGCTAACTGATAGATCTCAACGTGTGATTGTAAATGGAGAATCCTCATCCCTGTGGGATTGGTTCTTGGCCCTACTCTATTGAACACTTATCAATGAACTGACAGAAAAACTCTTCATCGAGAAAGTTTGCAGCTAGCACAACAACTGGGGGAGCGGGAAATAACGCCGAGGACAGGTCACTGATCCAGAGCGATCCGGTTCACGTAGTCAACGGGGCACAAGTAAAGAGTGTGTGTTTTAATACGGCTAAGTGTCAATGTGTACCTCTAGGAGCAAAGGACGCAGGCCATACATACAGGACAGGGGATTCTAGCCAGTGCCTCTGGTGGTGGCTAATCAGCAGAACAGGAACTCCCAAAGAGCGAACGTGATCCTGGGCTGCATGAACAGAGGAATCTCAAATAGGAATCGAGAGGCGATTTTCCCTCTGTATCTGGCTCTGGGGCGACCACCGCTGGGATCCCGGTGCCCAGGTCTGGTGCCCACCATTCAGGACGGAGGTGGATAAATTGGAGAGGGGTCAGAGAAGAGCCAGGAGAATGGTTAAAAGGTTAGAAAACCTGAGGGAATTTCTCTGGCCTGTGCCAGACAAGATGATCTAACATCCCTTCTAGCCTTAAGCTCCTGGCTCGGAGACTTCAGAGTAGGAAGCGGATCGTGAGAGCTGATGAGGCCTGTTTCCATTCAGTCCCATCGTGTCACAGCAAAGGCCCAGCCAGTACGAGGCAGAGCCAGGCTGAAGGGAACCCCTCACCCCCCCCAGCAGCACTCTCGGCCGCAGAAGGCAGCGGGGTAACTTGGGAGCTGTGACGAGGATTTCAGACAAGG